TAAAGGTGACACTGCCCCGGGTTCAAATGAGAGAAGCTGTTCTGATTCTCTGGGAGTATCTGGGGTCTCGGACAAGAGGGTACTTTTCCTGCTTCTTGTCGTCCTCCTCCTCCTCTTCCTCCTCCTCGTTCCACTTTTTCTTTTTATAGATCTATGTTCCGGTGCTGCCACTATCCTATGAGTTTAGATCAAGGGCAGGGACACTTCAGCCCTCCAGAGGTCCTTGGGCCGCAAACCCCATCAGCCCTTGCCAATACAACGACCGAGAAAGACGATGAGAAGTGGATTCCAGGAGCATCACGGGAAAAGACCCAGGGATTCCCCCATCCTGGGTGTAGACAGAACCCAGGCGGCTCTTTAGAAATGGGGAAGCAAAATGGGTTCCTGACCTCAGTTCAGTGGGCGTAGACGCCTTGGGATACAGGGGCAGCGCCTGGAAAAGTTAAAAAATTCTGACTTCAGCTCCCAGGAACCGCCAGGAGGGTGGCACACCGGGAATGATGGTCCGAAACGAACTTTCACTCTTCAAATCGAAACATCTGCTTACCAGAGGCTTTTTAAACATCCACCTTAAGCCAAATTGCAACATCTTGGATGTGACACGCTCTTTGGAATAAAAATCAGATGTGTTGCTTTTGGTGGAAATGGTTTCCAAGGTAGCGCAGCGCTCCTTAGGTCATGCGAATGGTTTTGACTTTGCACTGGAGTCCCGAACGCTCTTCTGAAGTAGGGGATGGTCCATTCCGGTGCCTCGATCCTGGTAGAGTGAAGGATAAATAGCCTAGCCAGATAACGGAGGGTTGGAATGAAACCAGCCTTGCCCAATCTGCTGCCTTCCAGATGTGTTGAATTACAACTCCCATCAACCCCAACCCAACACAGACATGTTTAAGATGGCATTGTGAAGTTAGTCAAACTAACATCCCACTGAAAACGTAAAGACAAGTGAGCCAGAACTTAAGCTGTCTGATTTCATTGGGAACTCGCTTCTCCTGTCTGCCGCCCACCAAGTCTAAAGCACGTCTGCCTTTGAAGGGTGCGCAGGGGCTAGTGAGGGTAGGATATCCCATGTGGAAGGGGGGAAGACAAAGAAAGAAAATGTGGCTCTTCTAAACCTGATTTTCTTTTTTTTGGGGGGGGGGGACTCACCAAATCAAAACTCTAGTCTTTCCAGCTGCATATCGGTGTCATCCGCAACAGACACTTTGGACGTAAAAGCAATGCCAAATGAGATTGTTGCTATGTAAAAAATAATATTTTCTCTGACCAAATAAATAGAACCGAGCGTTGTGGAATGGGGAGCACATTGCAAGAACTGATGTGGAACACTCTTTGACCTAAAGACCCACCAATATATGCAGGTACCCATATTTGCATCCCAGGTTTGTCCGAGGAGGTGACAGACTGAAATGTGTCTTTCCAGAATGAATGTGGAATTTAATACGGGTCACGGCTAGGAGTTATTTATACAGTCAAGAGACGGAGCTATAAATACTAGATGCTATGAGAGTCGCCTGCTGCTTTATGGCCATCCGCCGAAGCCCCTCGTAATAGTATGTATTGTGTTATGATAGTACAGTTGAGTAACGACTAAACCACAACTCATCTGCCAAACAGGCTCTAAGGAATTAAACGGAAGGAGTGTTTCAAAAGAAAACGTGCGTCAGAAGGCAGAGTTGATGAGTTCTTAGTATGAGACCAAAACCTCTTTAGGATTGAGACCCATCCTGAAGCGAGCAAATTTTAATGAAGATTTTTCAAGGCATAGAAAAAAAAAGAGAAAATCTTCTCCCCGGTTTGAAAGATTTCCCTAGCAGCAGGCGACCAGCTTCTGGGGCTGATGATCTCTGAAAGGCCGGAGGCCAGGGCGATCTTTGAATAACTCCTAACACGCCACGAATTTCCCAGCGTCAAGAAAAGTTAGATTTGTTCCCAAAACCTGGAGAAATCAAAAGCAGGAGCGTTAAACAAGCCGGATGACAAGCTTGAAACTAGACAAAGCCAACGGAATTCCTTCACACTTTTAATCCACAACCGGTTTACCCAGGAATCCTTCTGAAGTTGCCCCGCAAATACCCCGCTTGCCGGCTATGGCAATCCGAATCCGCCGCCCACTTAACCTGAAGAACCGGACTGTTTTGCTTTAAGTACATCTCGGATGCTATCCAAATTTCTGGGAAATCCAGGGGCCAAATCTCCCATTTCAGAGGTTTCCAGAGCTTTGTCAGTCTAGGGTCCGGTGTGAAATCTACCTAAAGCAGCAGTCAGACAGGCCGTTTGCTTGAAAATGCCGTGTATCCTACTCAGAATCACCGCGGTTAAAGATGGTGATAGAGGAAGCGTCACCTGCCAATATGAGCAAACTGGGGAGAGAGATGCTTATTGATCATTTGTACCTTTTCCGATTGTCTTTTGCGACACCGTCGGGAAACGCACAGGTCAACGGAAGCGAGCGCGGAAAATGGCCCTCAATATGTATATACCTGTACTGTACTTTGAAAGAGAACGCAGGCATCTCCCATTAGGATCCCCTACATTCACAATGGCTGCATCCTATCCAGACAGGTGTTGGGAAGCGTCGCTTAAGGAATGCATCTTTATTTAAACACACACAGACACACAGACACACACACACACACACACAAAGGTTTCCCCCCCCCCCCCCGGCCATTGGAAAACTCCCCCTTCCCGGACTTGAGGAAACAAAGGAGTAGATTCTGAATCAGTCCCATAGAAAGAAGTGTAAGGTGAAAGTGTGCTCGGGCCTCCGATTTTGTGTTATCCGCCCCAAGTTTCCAGGAACAGGCAGCGAAAACCTTGGGCCCTTTAGTCCGGTGAGAGCAAATTATTCTCCTGCGGTTTTTTTCTCCACGTCAAATGCAAAGATACTGGACAAGTTTCTCCAGTGATATATTTTAGGTAGGCTGTGTAACAACCCCAGAGCTTTCCAAGAGTCACCGTTTCCACGCCGTCGTAAAATCAATACAGGACAGACCCGGTGTGAGATCTCTGTGTGAGTGCGGGCGCGCGTGTGTGAATGTGCCGGGTTTAAAACGTTTACTTCTTCCTTGAAAAATTGTTCCAATCAATGGGGGGGGGGCGGATGTTGGAGTTTCTTGCTTATTGCTTCAGGAAAGTTTAACGCACTCTTTCCTCAATGTTCAGTGACGTTGATCCGATTCTTATAAATGAGCTGGGAGGTGCAGAACAAAGTTTGAAGTATGCTTCTTTTCTTTAAAGAGGAGGGGTAGAGCGGGGAAAAAGACATCTCAGCTTCAGGAAAGCTAAAGGGAAACATATCATACAAGAACAAGCCCGCTCTTTTCGGGGCTGTTTTATTTGCTTGGGCCTTAAACCCCTTTCAGCGCCGCCAGGTCCTTTCAGGTAGGCCAAATTAATCAGAAGAAAGACCCTGGGTTGATAGCTCATTCCTAATCTCTAAAGTCATTTTCTTGGCCATCCTATATAGGTCTATTCAGAGGTTGAGCCTCATTCGCTTCAGTAAACGTTATTCCAAAATACATACTGGATTGCGGCTTTAGGCTTGCATTCCAACCCACACAATTAATATATTGACCAAGATGAGACATGCATAGGATTTACTCTTCGGTTCATAAATCAGCTTTGAAATAGTGGGGAAATACCTTA